CCCACGGAACCCGCCGGCGCCACAGAAGCTGGGCCCGCCGCGCGCCAAAATAACTGTCCCGACCGCCAATCACCGAGCGCCTCGTCAGCCCCTGTTCCCATCGCAGCCAATCACGGCGAGACAGGAGGGCGCTTGTTGCTGTGGCGCGCGCGGACAGCCTTCGCCGCCATGTTGGCGCCCTGGGGCGCGGCTGAGTAGCCGCGGTTGGCGAGGCGCTGCTCGGCCTGACCCCTCCCCGAGGCTGCCGGAGACCAGAGGGACGTCTTTGCTTTGAGCATAGGGTGTTTCATGGGCTAGGAGCCGTTAAACCATCCGTGCCTTGGGCTTACTTTATTCTACATGCATTCCCATGATTTGCAGAACATGTAAGAGATATTTTTGTAGTGTTTTACTTCTGATGTTTTGGCTGTCATAAATGTAGTATGATACTCTGCGGATTTCTGTATAAATCACCTCTAGTAAAATACAGTTAATTTAAAAATTAAAACCACACTGATTTTCCCTTGCTGATACCTTGAAGAACAAGTAGAAGTATCCTGCTGTACCTTTTAAGGTCATACTCATATGATTGGTTTCTGTTTGTTTGAAATGTTTCAAACCTTCAGAGAGGGCAAGCAGACACTACTCAGAGAACCAGGAATCTTGCAGTCAGAACTGGCCAAACCAGTACAGAAAAAACCAAGTATGTAGGTTAACTCACACTGCACGTGTCCCAGAGGAGAGTTCACCTAAAACACACATCAAAGTGACCCCTGAAGACCAGCAAAGACACCCACGAAAGACCCAAATGGACCTAAAGTGCATGCGTGATTAGGATGTAAATATTACAAATAGTTATAGGAAAAATAATGTAACTTTTAGGAAATATGCATATGTAAATTGTCAAACAACATACACTTTGCATGTTATGACTTGTTGCATGCATGTTGGATGGCACAATCCCCCGCATGTCCAGCACTGTAATAAACAATGCCTGCCTTCTAAAACTTCAAACTGAGTCTTAGAAGGTTCTTTTGTGACCAAATTTATGGTAACACTACAACTTTTAGACACTTGCCAAATCAGGAACTAGGCCAGCTTTCAGAGGCAGGTTTCCTAAGTTACTTACACTTTTGCACTGTTCACATAGTAATAGTAGGTTCTAGCCCACATCTTCCATTTTAATTGTACTAAGTGTTTGCTAGGCTGAGGTTTTGACTTGGGTAACAAGGCAGAGTTTGAAATGTCACACATTCTACTCTAGGTTTTCTTAATGATAGGGAGTACTTCAGTGGTGTGGCCAAGGCAAACAATAACTCAGCTGAGAAAAGGACCAAAGGAGAAGACTACTGTCTGCTGAAAGGCCAGAAGAATAATTTCAGGAGTAATGGAGAAGAAAGCATAAAGAGAAGAGCACTAATGTTCAAAAATTAGCCAATTCTATGGAGCTAGCATGGTGGTGCAATTCTTAACCCTCCCTGCCCCTCCTTGTTGAGCTGCTTGGTGCCAGGTGTGATTCCACCCACATCCCCCTGAGCTATACACCAATCTGTGGAGATAAGGACTGCTAAAGTTAAAGCTTCCCTTATGGAGCCTGGCTCCTGCCCCTCCAGCTTGCTCTGAAACTGTTATAACGGCCCATCATCTTCTAATGGCCTGGCACACCTGTGTCTGGGATGTGGGCAGAAGGAACAATAAGAGTTGCACATTTATCAAGTTCTTGTGCAACTGCCAGAAGGCACAAGAAGGTATTTGACAAAAGTCAGTTATCTTGGACCCTATAAACTGCGACCACCAGGGAGACCCTTTGAGCTTTCCTGGATCACAGTGGGCCTGTGACCAGGATCTCCCCTGACCCGGGACACATCAGGTACCAAAACCCTTAAGGTGTTGTCTGCTGCCAGAGCTGACAGAAGGCCACGGTGAAGCCCATCCGCTCGAGTCTCAATTATCACCCGTTGAAGCATGCCAAGGCATTGTATTTACTCTAAACTTAAGAGGGAAGTTTTCTTTGAGCTAGCTTCTCTTTCACCCGTTCTTTCTCTGTTCAGTGGGGTGTGTGTACATACTTATTCTACTGGATCAAAATACTTTTGTTTCTGAGTGTGTGTTTGTGTGTTTTGTTTATGTGCATGTATATATGTATAAATTAAGGTACTGTTAAGTTAGTGTGAATCTTGTTATTTTAGAATTTGTTAATAAGTAACTTTTCTTTCTTTCAACATTTCTGAATTATTTTTTAATGATAAATTGCTGTTAGTTATTAAAAAAAATCTAGATTTCTTGTTAAATCATTACCGTGTTAATACTTTTATCCAAGACAGCTAGGTCCTCACCTACTTTTTAGTAAAACACCCAAATCAGGCAAGCGTGCATTGGTTTAATTTATCCACACTGGAATGTGCATGATTTGTTTGTGAGGGGAAGAATTTTCCAGAAGTTATCCTCAAACTGATTCAGCTTGTAAATAATTTCCCTCAGAAGCTCTCATTGTTAACCAGGACACGATTATACACGACTTTGTATAAAATCCTTGTGGAGATCTGTTGTCAAACTTTACAGCTTTGCCTTGTGCCCAGTTGGTGTGGTTTGGCCTATGGAAAGTTTGTGGGAAACCCTGTTTGTGAGACTAAAAATCGGTATGTCCCAGGCTGAATTCGCATGTACAATATAACTTTCCATTACCATAGTGTGTTTTTCAGAAACAGCTTCTGGAGAAGTCCTACAAAATACTACCAATAGACAGGGCTGGGAACTGAAATTCTTATTTCTCCTTGACATGAAAATTTATAGACTTGTTCGATATTGGTGCTATGACACATTATCATTGTCTCATCTTCAGCTGGCCCATGCTCCAACAGGCAATAACTTAGCTGTCTCTGTCCCTTAAGAGCTAAACCCTCTTCTGCTCTGTAAATACTAGTTGTCTATTCTCTCAGATCCTCCAATGAGGTTTTGCAGTGAGGTTAAAATCTCAGGAGTTTTCTCAACTTGTATTTAGCTTTGGAAAATGATTCCTCTATTTCAAATTTGAGGCTTGCGCACTCAAAATTTTGTCTTTATCTTTCATATTCTATTTAACAGATTCTATGTTCATTAACTCGTATAAACATTCCTTAAGAACATAGTGAATAACATCTGAGGGGTAAAATGTAGGATGGGTGATGGCAGACCTGTTGCGGATGTAGCAGAGAAAGGGAAATGATAGGAAGAATTGCTTTGGTTAGCGGTCTGAATGCAATTTAAACCAGCAGGTTTGTCTGAAAAGTAGTCTAATTAGCTCTTTGATGAGAAACCTAATTAGGCCTAATTAGCTCTTTGGTGGGAAGACAGCTTATCCTTGTTTATATTTCAACTTTGCTCCCTTTAATAAATAAGTGAATAATAGCAACAAATGCACATTATAATTTTCTGCACAGATGTACATTCTGTTCTCTATGCCTTTACAAAGAGTTATAAAAGCTATACATACATGTTATGTTTTATCTCGTGCATGTTTTATGTCTTTAGTTCTGTCAGCCTATACATGAAGGAGCAAATGAACATACACTGCACCCCTTCAGTTTTGCACTCATACCACTCTGAAAATCTGAAGGCAAAGCCAGCAACTTGGTTCGAAAAGACAGCAGTAATTTTTCAGAAAAGAAGGAACACCACCTGTCTGTGCCATTAGCTGTTCAGAGAACAGTACTGATGTTTCTTAATTTTATAGGGTAGTATTTAAAATGCAGGCAATATAAAAGTCAGTGTTTCTAATGTGGGTAACCACAAGATGGCAGCATGGATTAACCCTGCGTGGATTCACTCGTCCGCTTCCACTTGCACAAGTGCGCTGTAGGCCACTTTGCTAGCTTTGCGATAGGAAGTACACCGTATTAGAAAGGTAATACTGAACAGTTTGTTGTCTTTGGTGTGAACAACGTAGTTGTATTTAAAAATCATACTCAAATGGAGGTTGAAAACGCATACATAGTCTAGATCATCTTTCAAGCCAGTTATTTGTTCAAATTCATCTTCCTTTCTCATTGTCTGTATCTTGCCTTTTCTCAGCAAGAATTTCTGTTTATGTTTTGGTTTGGTTTTTTTCCCTTTTTTTTTTTTTTTTGTCACTTAGATGATAGATTCTGCAAATGTATATCTTGGTTATTTGGTATGTGATTGCTATTGTATTTTTTCTGTAGTATGGCCATGTGATACATGGTAGATAGAAAAATAGTTTTCCCCTAAATGTTATGTGAAGGGCTGCACATGTGTTTGGAGCAGGAAGGAGACCTGTTATATTACTGCAGACAGGGCCAAATGCAATGATTCAGAAAAGTTTGTAGATAGGGGATGTGCAGGTGTATT